CCCCAAAACCCCAAAACCCCTTAAGAGCATATAGAAAATGATTGAAGAAATTTAAAAATTGCAATCTTTAATTATAAATGACTAAGAGGATATCAACACTAAAATAAAGAACCTTGAAGACCCATATCTTTTGAATAACCAGTTTTTATAAACGATAACAGATTATGAAAAACTTATGCTAAATTCAAAGAGTAATATCTAAGTTTATGATAAGAAAATTCAATATCAAAAGCCACCTTTTCAAACTTTTATTGGAGCATAGGCCGCAACTAGTAATCAGTAGAATAGTAAAAAAAGAAATGTATTTCATGTATAAGTCAACAATATTTCTAATTGCTAAAATCTAAAAATTTTTAGTAAGTCTGATTTCAGTCTTTAAAAATACTGCGACTAAAATACATTAGATTAAATCAAATCTCTAGTTCAAGAAAATGTAATCAAAAAAATTAAAGAGATTAAAGATGAGGCTATAAAAGAAATAGAGGAAGATAATTTAAGGAAAGAACAAGAAAAGATTAGGTTGATTGAATAAGAAAACTTAAGATAACAAGAGGAGTTGAGACTAGAATAGGAAAGATAAAGATAAATTTAAGAATAGATAGAAAATGAAAAAAGGAAGGAGAATGAGAAATAAACCTAAGCATAAAAAAACTCGAAAATTAATAAGAAAAATGATAAAAAGTAGTCAGTAGCGATGAGAAAGTCTAGAAACTCGAAAGTTATAGTTGAGGAGGAAAGAGGAAATGAATCAAAGAAAAGTTCACCAATTTCATATTGTAGTGAAAGATCATCAACCGTTGTTGCATTACCAAAATTTAAACAGAAAAAGAAAAGAGTTATAAAAGAGGACGATGATGAGGAAATGAGCGGCAATAATAATGATAACTCAAGTGAGGAGGAATCAGATTCAGAAAGTTCAACTGATAGCAGCAATGATGAGGAAGAAGAATCCTCAGAAACAACTAAGGATGATAAAATGGATGACGATTGGGAAGAATTTGATGACAAAAAAACAAATTTTTCAACCAATAAAAAGTCCAAGACTCCTTAAGTAAAATCTAAATTGTTACAAAAAACGACTCCATTGTAAAAAAATAAAATCGAAAAATAAAAACCAAAATCCCAATAAAAAGTAGAAACTAAAACAAATAATATATAAAATAAAAAATAAAAAGAGTTCAGCTTCAAAACAAATCAAGAAGAAAAAATCGGGGAAAAAATCGAGCAAAAAATCCCTTAATATATCAACTACCAAGAAAGAAACATAAACATCAACTCCAGTAGAGAAGTAGAGTAAGTAAAAATAGTAAAAGCAATAGAATACTAAAACAAACAAAAAGATCCCCGCTTAAACTTCAACTAAGATAAGTAATAAGACTTAAGTTTAAGAGATTAAAAGGACGCCAATAGCATAAAATAAATCATCAATATCTAAGGCTTCTAATAGTAACTCTAAGTTGATATAAGAGTCAGCCCCAATAAAAAAGGAAGATAAGAGCAGATAACAATAGATCTAACAAGTGAATAAGAATAACAAGAAATCCTTGTCTATTAATAAAATCAAATTGAAAAATAAAAAGAAATCTAAAACATTGCCAGCATAGTCAAACAAAAATTAAGCAACAACATCCAAGATTTAGGCTAAATAAGGCAAGAGTAGCAATACTAAGTCCTAATAAACTTAAAAAAATAATAGCTGCTAGAAAGTTTAGCCAGTTATTAAAGGCAAAACAAAAGCTATTTCTAAAAAAAATAAGACTGGTAAAGCTAAAGTCATATAAAAGTCAAAGACTAATTCATGCAAAAAGAAGTGATATATAAGAGCATTTTGAATGCGAGTAAAGACTATAATCCATTGACTTGCAATAAAGGATTTCCATTTGCTAATGCTCCTTAAAATCATCCCGAGGATGTGGATAGATTTAGATTTTATAAAAATTCACACATAGCTGCTAGTGCAATCCTCAAATGTTAAGCTAGAGTAGATATTTTTAATACATCAAATTAAAATAAGGAGATTTGACATATATGGCTGTTGGTAAAGTAAGAAGCGATTTTATTCCAGAATTCAACGAGGCCAGGCTTGAAAGAAATACTGAGATAATTGAAAAAAGACTTTGAAATAATAATGTTTACTTCTTCAAGTAGAGTAATTACTCAGGAATACTTCATTTAGTTATTGAAACTGAAGGAGAACAATTCTTTGAGTACAGATTTTTCAAAGATTCGCTAACTTATATGAGAGAATAGCACTAATGAGTAAAGAATCTGGATGTGCTATTGCAAGGTAGGTGACTTGAAGACATTGTTATAATCGACAATAAATTATTCAATTACACAGAACAGCTGTAATATGGAATTCCTATAATGGATTAATTTTGAAGATTATCTAAATGATAACTCTCTCTTCCATCTAAGAGATTATCTCATTGAAAGAATATTACCAAGCGAAGACTTAAGAAAGGTAATATAAGATGATTTCATAGATTCCGTTATTAAGGCTAAAGGCTTTGAGGAAATTTAATAAGATTTCTATAAATATGGAATGAATATTATCTAAGGCCTGCCATCATTAAATGGATGTCTAAAAGCTACTTATAATGTTTTATTATTATTTAATATTTAGTACCTTGTAAAA